CTGCCTGTAAACGTCCATGATGGAGGAGAAGCTCCTGGACCAACTGGTGGTACTCCCCATGATCCAGCCTCTTTTTTAGGGTCTCATGTACCCACACAGATCTCTGTTTATCTGCTGACAGCTGCTTTCTCACTTGCCGATTAAATGACCAACCTACATCGCTAACGTCAACTCACCGGCTAATTGACTTGCTGATTTGCAGGTTAAACAACTGACTAATGTGCTGACTAACCAACTATTAACTAGCTCCTGCTATCCTTTCTCTTTCTTCTTCTTCTTTATTTATTTTCCTCCTCTTCTTCTGAGAGAAGTCAACGCAGACCAGAGAAGAAGAAGAAACTCAAAGAGCACAAGTTAAAGAAAGAAAACCTTGTTGATCAGTTGATGCAGCATTTCTAAAATTAATCACAATCTAAACTTTACAGATTTCTAACTGTGTTCGTGTTGTACGTACAGCACCACCAGGCGGCCCAGCTTGCTGAAGGCGTGATCGGGGACGTGGCTGATGTGGTTGAGGGCGAGCGTCATGGCCTGCAGGGCAGGCAGCTCGCTCAAAGCCTCCGCCGGCACCTCCGTCAGAGAGTTATCATCCAACCACAGGTGACGGAGAGAGCGGAGGCCGGAGAAACAGCCGGTGGGAACGCTGGAGATGTGATTGGCGTCCAGGCGGCTGCGGAGAGATTTACGCAATGTGTAAGTTTACAAGTTTTAAGCAAAATGCTAAGATTTTGATAAACATGAAAGAGGACATGATTAATGGAGGAACAGAATTCTACCTTCTCTAAAAGTTCATAAAACTCTTAAATCTGTTAAATCACTTCTAAAAACATGTTTTTAAAAAAGCTTTTTATTAATACAAGCAGACTGTTTTATTTCCAACATAATAATGATGTCAATGATGTCATGTCGTTGTTGCTGTCATCGTTAATCTCATTGTGTCAGTTGCTGATGTTGTTGTTGTTGCTGTCTTCATCATCATTGCTGTCGTCATTGCCGCTGTCAGTCTTGTCATCTTTGCTGCTGCTATTGTCATCAAATGTTGCTGTCTTTGTCGTTGTTGCTATTGTCATAGTTGTTGATGTCATCATTTTTGTTGCTGTCTGTGTTTATCTCGTCATCTCTGTTGCTGCTCTTGTTGTCAAACTATGTCACTGTCTTTGTCGTTGTTGCGCTGTTGTTGTTGTGGCTGTCTTTCTCGTTGTTGCTGTCTATGTAGTTGCTGTTGTCGCCATTGCTGTCGTCATTGTTGTCGTTGCAGTTGTCTTATATTCTTTGCTCTGTTTTTTTTTTTTTTTGGTCTCATTTTATTTTGTCTCATTGGAGTCCTGACATGTTTTAATCCTTGTTCTACAATGGAAATCACTGTGTAACTTTAATTTGCAAAGTGCTGCATAAATAAATTTTATTATCATTATTTTATTTCCTTCGTCAGAGTGGAAGCAAAAAGAACTAAGCTGAAAACATTTCCTGATCACAGCATTTTAATTTGCAGCTCCCCACTCAGGATTTTATCTGCAAACTGAAAGTAAAAACGCATAAAACGCATAAAAAACAAAACACATCCTTTTTGAATAAATACCAGAGACTTTTAGGTTTTAATGAGGAACTTCATTTGCAGAAAACAGGAGGCTTCACCTCCTTCTGAAGCTGTTAAAGAGGAACATTAGAGATCAAGTGTTTGAACAGCACAGAGGAATGATCGGCAGGCTGCTGAAGCACCACTCCACCAGCCAACGTGCTCTCAGGATAAACTAAGGTATTTTAATGAGCACACACTTAGTGCTCAGAGTGAGTGTGTGTGTGTGTGTGTGTGTGTGTGTGTGTGTGTGTGTGTATGTGAGTGAGTGTGTGTGGGGGCACTGTCAGTGTTTTTCATTTGGATTAATAATCCTGCTGTATTAGTCAGTATGTTTTCTTTGGTGTGTAGCTACCCCGAAAATAAGAACAGCTGCATGTTCGTTACCTTAGAATGAGACGTTTATATCTACACAGGGAGCAGGTCCTCGTCTACACCTCCATGTCTCTACAGTAGCCCAGAATGTCTGTCTGTCTCTGTAAGCTGAAACCATTTCCCTCAGTGGAAACAAAGCTTTGATTTACTTTAATTTCACAGATAAGAAACAACAAATTGTGAAGACAATAAAGCCTCCACTAAAATAGCATTTTAAGTCTTGTGTGTGATTTATCCTGGCTTCATATGAGCAGAGGAAATCTCTGCTAGCTGCTAGGCTAATTTATACAATGTAAAATGCCATAGACTTGTGCTAATAACATTAGCATGTTGTATTTGTGGGGAAAATGTGTCCAGATAAAGACAAGTGTTTGTCTGTGAATGCTGCGAGTTATAGTGAAGCTGATTTGTTTGGAATTGTCTCTATTAAGCCATGTTTAATGTGTGTTTAATGTGTGTTTAATGTGTGTTTAATGTGTGTTTTGAATCAACTAAACATTACAGCACTTCACAGAAACACCACCGCCCACTAGTGTGTTGGAGGTGTAACTACAGAGTGACACAGACACACCACCACACAAGTATAAATGCTCATAGTGGCATATGCAATAGAGACAGAGCGCAACATGTCATAATCTGAAAGCCACGCCCCCAAAGGGGAAACTAGGCCCACTTTCCCCTCACACTTTCCCCCTCTGTTTCCAGCCTGTTGCGTTTTCCCAAAGTCCAAATACTGAAACGTTGCTGTGTGGTGGGCTGCACGGCCAATAAAAACCCAGAGCTTAGCTTTAATTAGCTGTCGAGCAGAAAAACGGAACCTTGTAGAAGACAAAAGTGGGTACAGACAATAAAACGTGAGGCAAGAAACTGTGGGATCCTGACACTCGGTATGCCTATGTGTGCAGCAAACACTTTGTCAGACCCTCCAGAAGTATTTGTTAGAGTAACAATTAACTGTATTTATGTACGTTAAGCTAAAGCATTGACAGTATGAATGCAACTTCTGTTATAATTGTGCCCAGCGCTCCACAATTCAAGCAGTCCATTCCAGCGGTCCGCTCTAGCACTTCTGTCAGTCTACCAGCATGTAGAGGCATGTCTCAAAACAACATCGAGTGCTGGTAGTAGGAGCAGGCTGACAGCTGAGCATGCCCAAGTGCTCATCTTCTTAAAAAAGAATCTCCACATCATGTTTTCTCCAAGATGAGCAAGGTAAGGAGAAGGGACACTGAGGTAGACCGGCAACATTAAGCTTATCAATGTACCGTTGCCTCTCTGGTAGGCATAGTGTGCTAAAATAATCCTTTGCCATCTTATTATTAGCTAATTATTAGCTAGCTATAGCTAATAAGTTTAGCTAGCTAGCAATTCAGTCATGGAGACTTGAAGGTGCAGCTGTGGAGGCAGAATGACAGCAAACGAGCGAAGAAGCGGAGGGGAAAGCGGGCCTCGTTTCCCTTTTGGGGGCGTGGCTTTCGGAATATGACGCGTTGCACTCTGTCAGAAGGAATTCTAACCAAGAGAAGTTTCAGCTGGTTGCAATCTGCAGTCCTCACCACTAGATGTCACTAAACCCCCTAAATCTGACACACCAGACCTTTAAGAAGTATAAACATTTTCTCAACACACAATGGAACTCTTCATCCTTCAGTTTAACACAAACATTAACATCAGCACATCTGGAGATACGTGGTTTTCACTGGACAGGGACTGGATGAAGAAGTGAGAAGTAACTAAAGTACAAAAAGTACCTTAAATTTGTACTTAAGGACAGAACTAGAGGTACGTCTCTACAAACACATGATGATATTTAGCTTTATATTTTGAAGTCTCCTTCAGGTCAAATAACATAAACATGGATGTTGTGTAGATACAAAGAGGTCTGTCTGTCTGTCTGTCTGTCTGTCTGTCCTGACAATACCTCCTCTGTTCACACAGCAGGAGAGAAGAGAAGGATGGGACTTCACATAATGGTCCATCAGATAAATGAGAGAGAGACCTCAGACAAAAAGAAAGACTCAGACGTCTCCATTCTTATACCCTTATCTACACACACACACACACACACACACACACAGGTACAGTTTCAGTATAATTACTGTGTGTTATCAGACTGAGGGAACACACTGTCTGGACTACATACATTAATATACCGCTCCATGTGTGTGTGTGAGACTCAAGATTCCTTTCCACCAAGAGGTAAAACGAGACAAAAGTGTGTGTGTGTGTG